CTTCCGATCAGCCCTCAGAGGGTAAACCACATGACAGGGTGGAAAGTAAAATGGCTTTGAGTTTAGTCCTTTATTATACAACACCATTCCTCTGAGGCGCCGGGCAGAAACAGCCCTTACTCCACATCAATTCTTGGTTTAGCGTCTCTAGCCGCTTCTTTCGGGCTTGCCAGCGCCTCGCCAGAGGCTCGAGGAAAAGAGAAACTGATGATAACAGATAACACACACCTGCCAGGTAGAAGGAGCAGTCGTAAGTCTGAGTGTAGTCGTACAGGAAGCCTTTGGGACGAAACGCAATGCGTTAGACGTATATAAAACTGCTGACAGATGGAAAGTTTTCCTTAAATAGTCAATGGAGGTCAATGAAGAAAACATGGAAAAAAGACAGACTTTCTTTACATTCTATTTTTTTTCTGTCCTTGCACGATATACTTGAGAACGGTCAGTAACCTGACACTTAAGATGATGGACTTATGGAGAAATCTTTCTTCACTTTCCAGCCCAGAATCTCCCCACACCTGTTTTCTGACTGGATACGCTTTTAAAACCACGGCTTGTTTTCACTATGCAAGCAGCACCGGGTCATATCCGGAAAGGCCTTGGGTCGGATAGAAAAATCAGTTTTGCTTCCCTGGCTGCTCATTATTTTTTTTGAATTGTGGAAGGGGGCCCTGACAAGATGGTTCATGTTAGCATAACTGTGTTACAGAGTTCAGGGGAAGGTCTATGCTCGTCTTCCTGAGGAGGCCCCTCTTCAAGACTTGCTTTTCCAAGAACTGTACTTCACTGTAGAACTGTTCTATGTGAGGAGATTCTGTATTTGTGTTGATGACTGAGTATTGTTACGAATGGATTCGTGTGTTGCTAGGGAAACGGCACACTCGTTCGTGTGCGCGTGTATAGGTTTTTCCCTGTGTTTTTCTTTGTCTCTCCCTCTTTCGCTCTAATTGATTACAGGTGGAGCTGATTAGGAGGACTGAACTGGTTGGAGACAGGAAGGATCGCCACAGTACTTACGCTATCCGGTGGAAGGAATCGTTGGCTCCCCGCTCTCTTGGTGGCTACTGTTGTGCCCGCTGTGTGACGTGTGTTGGCGAAAGGATCGCTAATTTAGACATTTGTTGTCAATCATTGAATTATGTAACAGTTTAGTTGTGTTTGATATCTGTTACGTTTGGACGCTTACTTCCTGGACCTTGTTAAGTGGAGCTTGGTAGGGAGGTGGGTGCCTGTTTGTTTTGTTCGTTTTCTCCTGTTTATGTTAGCAGGGAGGTAAGAACTTGTATTTTATTTGTTATCTGATTTCTAGGTTAGTTTGTTTATTAGTAGTTTTGTTTATTGTAATTTACTTTGGCAAATTGCCCCTCCCGAAGTTTATGATGTTCCTTTGTTTCTTTTGTTAATAAACTTACTTTTATTTGCACTTTAAGTGTTTTGTGGTTGACAAATTTAAGAATGAGAGCGGGGACCCCAGGGATCTTTCTTAGATGGATCCCTGTTAACTGTTATGGACCAGTTTATTTCTCTTTGAGTAGGGATTTAACTCGTTGTTCGTAACAAATGGGGGCTTGTCCGCTTGTTTTTTTTTTTGTGGCCAACAAGTGGAAGTTTGTTCGCCTAGTTGACTTGTTTGTTTTGAACGAGTTTTATTGTTAATGAATGTCTAAAATGTACCATTTTTGGTCTCTTTTCAGTGGGTAACAATTGTTTTTATTTATCTTGTTTTTAAGAAGGTAAAAAGCATTGAGTGAATATGGAGCTAGATATTGGAGCATTTGTTTCTAAACCTAGTATACAGCAATTTGATGCGTTTCGTAAAAAATATCTTTTGCGAATTGCTGAAATTTTGAATATTTCTGTATCAAGTTCTGCAGCGACGAAAGTAATTAAAGCTGAAGTGTATGCTGAACTTGTCGAAAAAGGGTTACTGTCTGCAGAAACTGATTTAGAAGGTGAAGAGGGAAAAAGTGATGGATTAGCGATAGGTGGAACAATTGATTTTCCCTCATCTAGATCAGACCCTTTGCTGCTTTTTAAATTTAAAAGAGCTAGAATTGCAGATTAAATGACAGGAGCATGAGAATCGTATATTACATTTGTGTGAACTTGAAATGCTCAATATTTGATTAGCCTCTTAATGGGACAGTTCACCAAAAATGAAAATTCTGCCATTATTTACTAACCCTAAGGTTGTTCCAAACCTATATTAGTTTCTTTATTCTTTTGAACATAAAAGAACAGTTGCTGGTTCCAATTGACTTCCGTATTACAGAAAAAAATACTACTAAATAAAAATAAAAAATACTACTAAGTCAATTGGGACTAGACTAGAACTGTTTTGTTGCCTACATTCTTCAAAATGTATTATTTCATATTTAGCAGAAGAAAGAAACTCATACAGGTTTGGAACAACTTGAAGGTGAGTAAATTATAACAGAATATCTATTTTTGGGTGAACTATCCCTTTAATTCAAAGATATTTTCATAATAACTACTTTACATGCACATTTAACAAGCATATTTAATATCTATACATGTAGGCAACAGACTGTTTTCCCTCAGGGGCTTTTTAAGCACTAATTTTGTCTATCTGGTTCACTGAGAGTGATTCCAGGTTGTAAAAAATATTTGAAAGGTAAAACCTGAGATTCCTTCCAGAGGAACGGGTGTACTGCAGTGCAGCCTGTCAATCTAGCCCTCTCTCCTTACACTGCCCTTCGCAGTATTACACCACAAGAACTCAATGTCTCAATACTAGAAAAACAAGACCTCTCCATGAGCATATACAGTGGGTACGGAAAGTATTCAGACCCCCAGTCCAATCAGTATAATCAAACACAGCTGGACTCAAATGAAGGTGTAGAACCATCTCAAGGATGATCAGAAGAAATGGACAGCACCTGAGTTAAATATATGAGTGTCACAGCAAAGGGTCTGAATACTTAGGACCATGTGATATTTCAGTTTTTCTTTTTTAATAAATCTGCAAAAATGTCAACAATTCTGTGTTTTTCTGTCAATATGGGGTGCTGTGTGTACATTAATGAGGAAAAAAAATTAACTTAAATGATTTTAGCAAATGGCTGCAATATAACAAAGAGTGAAAAATTTAAGGGGGTCTGAATACTTTACGTACCCACTGTATAATACGAGTGAAGGAAACTGCATTAGGATCTCCCCATTTGTAATGAACAGAACTGAGTTCATAACTCCTAAGACATACTTTCAAGCTGCTGGTAACATTGAGAACAATGAAAGTGACGAAACAACTAAACTGAGACAATTGAAATTTCATTTTTATACTGAACTAAGCATATTATCTATATATACACATTTATACAAAATCTTTGCAAGCCCCAGGCTTGCCAGTACTCACCAGCACAGGAAGTAGGAGAGCCATGTACCCCCCACAGAAGATGGCAAAGAAGACAACATAGACCATGAGCAAGATATATGAGGTGGCCAGAGGGGAGAGAAGATTGACCACACCACACAGGATCAGGTAGGCCTTATGGTAGTGATACTTGTGAACCAGATTCCTGTCTGTCACCCAGCCAGATGCAAGTTGGGCCACCGTCTCTGTTATACCTGTGAGACAGAAAAACTGATGGACTGAAAATGGGCTGCTTAGTGTTGGACTCTTCCAAGGTTTCTTCCTTATACAAGTTTGACCTCTTCATGTAATATGTAAAGGACTGTAACTGTCAAGGTTCAAAATGACAAAACCATTGGTGATCTAAATGGCTAATGTAGTATATTACTTTAAAATCATTTTTTTGCTTTGTAAGAAAACTGTATTTTTCTCAGATTTCCAAAATATAAGTTGCTATCATGCATACACACACTACAACATCTTTTTACAATGCTTGTACACATGAAATATACCTCTATTTCTCCCAACATGGAGAATGGAGAGATCAGTATTAGTCACAAATAAAAAAAATAATAATTTATTATATTATTATAATATAATTATTATAATATATTATTTGAAAAAATAACTCGGTACAATACTGTTCAAAAGTTTGGGGTTGGATTAAGATTTTATATGAAATGAAACAAATACTTCTATTTAGCAAGGATGAATTACAGTGATCAATAGTGATAGTAAAGACTTTTTGTTACAAAATCTTTCAAATAAATGCTGTTCTACTGAACTTTATTCATCAGAGAATCCTAAAAAATGAATCTGAATTAATTAATATTAAGCAGCAAAAACTAATATGAAACATTTTTTATCAAAAAAGCAGCAAATTTTAAAAGGATTTCTGAAGAATCAACTAAATCAACTGAATGTTCAGCATAGTCTTCAGTATCACATGACCTTTGTCCTCACAGGAATAAATATGTTATTTTTAAACTGTAATAATATTTCACAATATTCCTGTTTTACAGTATTTTTGATCAAATGAATTCAGCCTGGGAGAGCATAAGAGACTTCTTTCAAAAATAGTAAACGGCCCCAAACCTTTGAACTACATGGTGTAAATTAAACAAACATGAAAAACCGCTACTTAAAGGGTTAGTTCACCCAAAAATGAAAATTAGCCTATAAATTACTCACCCTCAAGTCATCCTAGGTGTATATGACTTTCTTCTTTCAGACGAATCCAGTCGGAGTTATATTAAAAATTGTCTTTGATCTTTCAAGCTGTTTAATGCCACTCAGCGGGTGTTGCATGCTTCAGTCCAAAAGAAGTTAAATAAAAAGCGCCCATCCATAAAAAAAAGTGTCTCACACAGCTCCGGGGGGTGAACAAAGGCCTCCTGTAGTGAATGATGCGTTTTTGTAAGAAAAATATCCAAATTCAAAACATAATAATGGATTACGTACAACGCTCACTGTTGTACACTGGAAGCAGCTCCAGGCACATGACGTATGAGGTCGACTTTGCGCATGCGCCGCTCAGAAGTGACGCACGCGGAAGCGCAAGGGAGAGATCAAAACGAAACAAAACAACGGTCAATTAAAGCACAAAACGAGGATTTGTAAAGAAAAATGTCTTTGTAAGAATGAATTTCTTTTTCAACTTTAGTTAGTCTGTAATGTTGCTGTTTGAGCTTAAAAAATATCTGCAAAGTTACAAAGTTCAAAGTCCACTTTAAAAGGAGTTATTTTATTTAACAGAAATCACTTTTCAAAAACTACAACGAACAACTCGTTTGGACTAGAATGCATATTTTCTGGGATTTGTGATATCACAAATACCGATGAATGGGACAAGACCTGGTTGAGCTGCACTAGAGAAGGCAACGAATGTTATCACTATGTCGGAGACACGCTAGCTTTCCCAAGGCAGATGAACTTAGAGTGGTTACAATAACCCGAGTTTAAATCACGCTCAAATTGATTTGATTTTGATGCAATATTTACACTGAAGCTCGCAGGCGTCTATGGTAAGGGGCATGACATTTCCCGACCAGGCACCGAGTGTTGCCAATCACAACACACACTGGCCCAGCTAACCAATCACAGCACATTTCGTATTTCAGAAGGCGGGCCTTCATTTGATACAGGAACTATTCGAGCCGTTCATGCCAGACTGGGGAGAGAGGTGTTGTAATAATGTAAAATATGTGAAAAATGTGTTTTTCGAACAACCTAGTATAAGAAGCTGTTCTAGTACACCCCCAAAACAAAATCAAGACTTTGAAAAAGAGCATAATAGGACCCCTTTAAGTTAATTGACACTTTGTTTTTCAGTTCAAAGAGTGACAGAAGAGGAACAGAAGTAATGATAACAGACTAGATATTTTGTGGTGTGCTGTACAAAGCGTTCAGTACTGCTTAATGTTTGCTGTTGTCTGTGCTGCAGCGGAATGCCCATGTCCTGCAAAGCTTTATTGAACAGTCTAGGAAAAGACCTGAGGCAGCACTATTGTAGATTCATACATACGCAACAGATCCAAAGTGTGAGACTCTCTGCTGACATGCAGGCTGTCACAGTTTACTGGATAGACCTACATAAAAATGCACACACACGAGATCATATTCATTCATAACCTATTAAATCACACACTGAATATACTTACACAAAGCCCAGAGGTGTTGGTATGATCTGACCAGCTCATATAGAACCAATGGCTTGAACTGATGCTGCAGTTTGTGCACATGTGGAGTCATTTATTGTTGGCCAGACATAAAACAAAACAGCTGCTCAATGTTTGCATGTCCTCGGTGCGCCACTAAAGGTGACGTCCTGGTGTGCCCCGCTTGGACCCAAAGACATTTTGCGCGTTGTTTGTGTGTTTAAATCCCAGCAGGGCCATTGAGTTTCACAGCTGTTCCTGTCATGCTTTGCACAATGAAACTTCAATACAGAATCTCAGTGACAAAAAGTAGAGGTTCCTAGTCCACAAAACTCTGTAGTGTATAGGGGGACTTTCACCAGGGTAATCGGGCATGTGACAGGTGTTTGTGTCTTTGTGTACTTCACTCAGTGGACACAAAAGGACTGGACGAATGCAATGTCCCCACTACATCAAAGACGGACAATAGGCCCTCACTGAGGTACAGAGCGTCCAAATGCATGTCCGATCGCTACCAGCTCATTAAAACACAAAACGTGTTTGGCTCGTCTCCTCACTCTCTTTTGTCCTCATTGCTGCCTCGGTGGCACACCACACAATGTCAGCCACTTCAGAACTAGGCACTGAACTACCAACCCTTACGGCAGCTACTTGGGCTGTTGCTTAGCAACTTCCCTCGGCTCGCCGCCACGAGGAGCCTGAGTGTTAGTTCCCTGCTCACCCTGTCCGATGTGAAAACATCTTTCAATGTGCAGGTGGAGGGGGTAGGGGAAAGGAGACATTTGGAATATCGCGATTGTCTCAATTTGTGCACTTATGCACTATTTGTGCATAAGACATTTTATAGTATATATATATATATTGCAAGTATATTCATACTGAAAATTCCAAAAAGAAAACGTACACTTCAAATATCTGGATGATGCACTTAATTAACCAGAAAAACAAAAAAGTGTGGAATGTTGGACACTTCATTGACTTAACTATTGCAGCTATCTGTATGTACCGGAAGGTACATTTATTATTATTTCCTGTTTATTACTGTGAAGCTGCATCGAAACAATCTGTATTGTATAATGTGCTATATAAATAAAGGTGACTTTTCATAGTGTATCGAAGAAATTTTTTGACAGCTTAAACCAGGCAAACTTGGTAGAGAAAAATGACAAAAAATTACTAAAAAAAACAACAACAGCAAAAACCAAGCAGTCTCTGTGAATAAGTGATGCTAAACTTACAAAACCACACTTTTCTGAGCCATTATTTCATTGATTTATGAATTGAAATGATTTTTGCTTGTGCTATCTTTCAAAAAATTATTATATAAACTAGAGACATTGATACATTTTAAGTGTTGACTCCAAAAGGTGACTTTTTGGGCCACTATATAAAGTAGGGATGTACGATAGTGTTTTATTTTTAGTTTATAATTTTATTAACGGACATTTATCAGTTATCAGCCATAACAGGAAAATAACTAACAGCTCATCATATCAGTCAGAATTTCAGTAACAGTGCATTTATAATTCTAATATGAAGCATGAATTTCAAGTAAATTGCACAGGATGTAACAAAAAATTAAATAGTGTTTACTATTTTCCTCTTGCACTATCGAAACACTATTTTCCTGTTTAATACTGTAAAGCTGCTTTGATACAATCTGTATTGTATAAAGCACTATATAAATAAAGTTGAAGAAAAACAACAATAGACATGTTGCAAATAGCGAGCCATTATCAGGGTGTGTACTGCAGTAAACAAACAATTGGGTCAATAGGTGTCACATGTTTCCTACATACCCAGACAACATGTTGGTTATGATTTTTTGCTGAAAAAGTTTCCATTTTAATAAAGTCTTTTTAATGTTAACATAAGTGCCTTGTATTTCTTGTTTCTCTAAAGAACACCATTGGAGGTAATAATCAACACCCTTAAAAGCAATATCTTGATAGTACTACCTTTTGGTAAATAAATACAAATGAAAAAAAAAATGTTTGAGTAAACATATTCAAACTCTCTGTCATTCACTGTGGCATTATTGATAGGACACTTACAAGCCCTCTGGTTTTAGCCACTATGCCAAAGTTCATTTTTTATGTAAGAGCACTCATTGCATAACACTGCAGAATTTAAACTGCTCACAAATAATTAATGTGAAGTTGGCTGCGTTTTTGCATCAACCCTTTAAAGCCCATATTAGAGCACATCTTGCTGCAAAGCACAATGGCCATAGTGCATCTATCAGGTATGGCTTTATGGCTTTCCTGGAATACACCCCTGATGAAGCCATCCCTGAAAAACCCAGCTTCGCTAATGACATGCTGTCCACTAGCTCTGTCATTACACGGTCTTTTGTCTCTCCATTTTCCACAGCATAGCTCAGCAGTGCTTACGTCCTATTGATTTCTTCTACTGTTACACATTATTAGTGTACAGTTGAACTGTTGCAGCCAGAGACCAGCAATAACAAACATGCTGACTAGAGGACTTTTTTGTGCAATAGGTAACTTTTTAATTTAAATCATTTTATACCCTTTGTCACGAATCCTTTATCTATAATTTCCTTGTGAATGCAAAATTAATTCTGTAAAAAGCACTTAATACTTAAAATAGATGACGGTGGAAAAACAAGACTCTAGGGTTACATTGGTTGATCAAAGGTAATATGACTCACCAGCCACAGAGATGATGAAGGAAGCATCCATAGGGTCGATGCCCAGGTTCCGGGCCCTTGCAGATAAATGGAAGTAAGGTATAAAATATGCCAGCTGACTGAAGACCAGCGACCAAGTGTAGATGCAAAAGAAAGGGTTCTTCAACAGTGAGAAGTCCAGCACTTTTTTGGGGTTTTCAGGAAGATTTTCTGTTCTGCTGTTCTCAAGTAACGAATCCACAGGAGAAACCCCATTCATCTCGGGGGAAGTTTTCATTTGGCTGCCGTCTGTACCATTCACCCCATTCTGGATGGATTTTTTTAGTTCCAGATGTGGGAGAGTATTCTGTTCATGAACGGGGTTCTCTATTATAAGTGTGTCCCTGTGAATGGGAGGTGAGCGGTCCATTCTGGAAGTGCCATTGGATATAGATGTGTTGCCATTTATATGGTTCTTAAGAGGGTCTTTCTCAGATCCAGCATTATGAAGGGTGGAGTTTGACAAGGGAGAAGCTGGAGGTCTAACATTAATGGGCCGCAAAAGCATCCCAGAAGCCACCAGGTTCAGCATCAGGCCTCCCAAAATCAAAAGAGCTCCTAGAGACAGAAGAGAAACTCATGAGTGTCAATTATAGTATTTTAACATGTAATAATAATACTTCTTTCTTTACTATTATATCAGGACACCCTGACATTTTTTAATTCATGCTCATAAATTCATTAAATAAAATTCATTAAAAACATACTTATCATTTAAGAGGAATATTCAAATCAATGGCTGCATTGCACTTTTAATGTATTTTTGGATAAATGATTAGATCCAGAAAAAAAAAGTGTCACTTTATTACATCAAAAATTACCTTTTAGCCTTAAAAAAATAAATAAATGACAGTAAAATTATAAAGTTATAATGTAACTCAAGATTTCTATTTTAATGTTGTTCTTTAAACTCCTAAAAAACACTTTCACTCTTTCCATACTTCATCATGGAAGACCATGTGACACTGAAGACTGGAGTAATGGCTGCTGAAGATTCAGTTTTGCCATCACAGAAAAAATAGAAAAAAGTTAATTTAAATAGGAATAAAATGTCATAATATAACTGCTTTTATCAAATAAATGCAGCCTTGGTAAGCATAAGAAACTTCTTTCAAAAACATTAAAAAGTCATACCAACCCCAAACTTTTGAACAATAGTATATGAATCATATACCAGTTTAAGATTTATACTGATTTTACAGATTTTATAATAATGTAGCTGAAAGCCAATTACCCTGCCAAGCATACTGATCCAAAAGCAGCTGAGTGAAAGGAGCGAGGGCAAAGGTCAAACCCATGCCAGAGCGTCCAATAGAATATGCAGTTGCCAGCCTCTTTTGGAAATAGGTCACTGTTACAACAGATGTGGCCTGATAAAGAAGAGCAAACCCGAGACCTGGAAAAAAAATCATACATTTTTTACTCATAATATCTGTACTTTTATTTTTCATATAAAACAAAACTCACCAACAACTATCCCCATGCTAAGGTAAAGGTAGATCACGCTGGTGGCAAATATGCTGGTGATAAAGCCGGCGCTGACAAAAAGCGCCCCCACTATGGAGGTAACCCTGTTCCCCAGCTTGGCACAGGCCACCGAGGCCAGAGGACCTAACGGGTCACAAGCAAAACTGGGTTTATGACCTGTCATATTGGATCGAAGATGGTTGCTATGCTGACCGTACCTCCAGAGAGCCTGAGGCTGGACATGATGGATCCAATCCAGCTGATGCTCTCGGACGAGCCTCCAAACTCATCCTGCAGTGCCACAAAGAAGATCCCAAAGCTCTTCAACGTACCCATTACCAACACGTTCACCTGAAAAAACACCAGCAGATTCAACTGATTTCAGCTCAATACAGATCACCTCAATTTTATCATAGCAAAGAAGCTCTAAATCAGAGTCTCTAACGGTAGGATTCTTGACATACCAGGAAACAATGCAGAACCACCATCCAACCCCAACCGCCATCTGGTGGATCCACATAAACAACCTCCCTCTTTTCCTCCTTCATGGCCTTGACTTTTTGTTCAGAGCAGGAGGTTTTGGCAGCCTTGCCATCACTGAAACATCACAACATCCACTTAACATCAACCAGTGAGAACTCTTTCCATACTTCATCATGGAAGACCATGTGACACTGAAGACTGGAGTAATGGCTGCTGAAGATTCAGTTTTGCCATCACAGAAAAAATAGAAAAAAGTTAATTTAAATAGGAATAAAATGTCATAATATAACTGCTTTTATCAAATAAATGCAGCCTTGGTAAGCATAAGAAACTTCTTTCAAAAACATTAAAAAGTCATACCAACCCCAAACTTTTGAACAATAGTATATGAATCATATACCAGTTTAAGATTTATACTGATTTTACAGATTTTATAATAATGTAGCTGAAAGCCAATTACCCTGCCAAGCATACTGATCCAAAAGCAGCTGAGTGAAAGGAGCGAGGGCAAAGGTCAAACCCATGCCAGAGCGGCCAATAGAATATGCAGTTGCCAGCCTCTTTTGGAAATAGGTCACTGTTACAACAGATGTGGCCTGATAAAGAAGAGCAAACCCGAGACCTGGAAAAAAAATCATACATTTTTTACTCATAATATCTGTACTTTTATTTTTCATATAAAACAAAACTCACCAACAACTATCCCCATGCTAAGGTAAAGGTAGATCACGCTGGTGGCAAATATGCTGGTGATAAAGCCGGCGCTGACAAAAAGCGCCCCCACTATGGAGGTAACCCTGTTCCCCAGCTTGGCACAGGCCACCGAGGCCAGAGGACCTAACGGGTCACAAGCAAAACTGGGTTTATGACCTGTCATATTGGATCGAAGATGGTTGCTATGCTGACCGTACCTCCAGAGAGCCTGAGGCTGGACATGATGGATCCAATCCAGCTGATGCTCTCGGACGAGCCTCCAAACTCATCCTGCAGTGCCACAAAGAAGATCCCAAAGCTCTTCAACGTACCCATTACCAACACGTTCACCTGAAAAAACACCAGCAGATTCAACTGATTTCAGCTCAATACAGATCACCTCAATTTTATCATAGCAAAGAAGCTCTAAATCAGAGTCTCTAACGGTAGGATTCTTGACATACCAGGAAACAATGCAGAACCACCATCCAACCCCAACCGCCATCTGGTGGATCCACATAAACAACCTCCCTCTTTTCCTCCTTCATGGCCTTGACTTTTTGTTCAGAGCAGGAGGTTTTGGCAGCCTTGCCATCACTGAAACATCACAACATCCACTTAACATCAACCAGTGAGAGATAAAGTTTCATAAAATTATTACCTCTTCACCATCTGAAACATACAACTCCTTACAGATGAAAGGCTTCCAAGAACACAATAATTAATCAATTATTATTATATGAACAGGTTAAATTAAGACAAAAACCAATGTACCAAAACACTGATAAAAAAGAATGTAAAAATGGCAAATGTGATAGTTAATTTTTAATCTGATCTCCTGTTACTCTTCTATCTCCTTTGCCCTTTTTACATTTGGACCCAAATACAGTATCGCCAGCATAATGTGGTTTGATCTGGTGTTATCTGTTAAACATTTTCTAAACCCAGAAAGCAGTGGACCGTGATGACATCAGTACCATGGGTTATTCTATTCAGAGTGGTTCAATTTTGAGTAAACATGAGGATGCCACCGGTTTAAACTGGTTATCAGTATGAGGTGAAGTGTTCTGGATCTGGGCCTGAGACCTCTTTATTTACAGCTGAATACAATGTGTGTCTAGTACAGTGTTTAAAATGACACAGAGAGACTGAGCGAAAGAACGGTCAAAGGCTAACGGGTTCGTTCAAACAAACACCTGGCATGAAGTTAACCGAACAGCGAGCCCCTGTGCAGAGATCGTTTGAATTATTTCAGAGATAAACGCTTGCTCAACTATAAATACTGAGCAAACAAATTCATCACCTCAGGTCATTCCAGCTGAAGCAGGAACATGAAGTTTGCAGATCTGAAAATGTATGCGTGCACATAACAACTGTATAGAAAATATACACTTTTTTTTCTTGAAGGTACAGTTCACTCAAAATATACCCACTCGCAATTTTCTTACCTACATTTTGTTTCAAACCTGAATGATTTTCTTTCTTTTGTGGAACACAAAAAAAGGAGACATTTGGCATAATGTCTAAATTGACATTGGATGTACCTGTACAGTGAAAGTCGATGGGAATCAAGCCCCAAAAAGCAGAAAAAGAAGCATAAATGCACTACATTTTAGGTCTTTAGGAACCATTCAATAGCCTTAAATGAGAAATGGACTAAAATGCAACACTTTATTCACTGAAATCATGGTCCATTCACTTTCAAAAGAGCAGCTTGGACATTCTGCTAAAAGCATCCACTTTGTGTTCCCCAGAAGAGAGAAAGTCATACAAATTTTGCATTAAATGACAACAGAATTTTCTTTTCTGTGTGAACAATCCCTTTATCTAAAGCCGTTATGTGTGCAGAACTTTTAAAGACAAAGTGATCTGGAAATTCATAGCTTCACTGACGAAAACATAACCGTGTCAGACAGAAAATATGTGGTTTGTAAAGCTCTCGTACATAAAGCTCATGAGTTCAAGTAGTTGGCTGTTCCTTCAATAGAAAACAGACAAGTGGAGACGCTAAAGCATGCAGAAACTGCTTAGAGGATTACAGAGCAATGAATTGGGCCAGTGTGTTGTAAGTAACATTTCCTTCCATGTGCTTACCAAGGGCCACCCCGGAGGGTGTCTGTGCATGTGTGTGTGCTTGCATGCATGCATGTATGTCAGATCACATATGTGGATACTTCAGTTCAAGAGTAAGTCCAGGAAGTTGAATTGGAAAGGTCTACAGTCCACCCTGTTACTCACCCTGACACTTTCACTCAAAAGGCTCTTTAAAATCCAGTGCTAATTGCATTTTTGGTAATTGCCCTATTCAGCGATTGAGTGAGCAATATCTTTGGTCACAAAAGCAGTGTTTTCCTCCTCTGGTATGTGTTATTAAATCATTATATCATTATTGGTTATGTGACAGTCATGCAAAACCTGTCTGGTCGCTTTGTTTCAAATGTTGAAAAAAAATTAGTAGCTATATGAATGAAAAGGGCCACCTATAAAAATGTAAAAAGATCCATCTTAAAAAACAAATTTAGATCTCATAATATTAGGCAGTTACAGAAAAACATCTTGAAAAAGACTCACCTGTGTTGCTCTTTTGGCAGCATAATTGTTGCACAGGAAAATGAATGACCTTTAAGGTGACAGCTTATTTACTCTGTGTCATCTTCTGCACTGGAAGCTCAACTTGCAGATCTTGCTTTTGACAAACCTGTTACACAAACTCTGTTATAACTTACTATCTTTTGGACCTTCCCCACATAAGAATCTCTAATCATTGGGTGTACAAAATGTGTGTCTTTCAAACAACTAATTCTCTGAATTTTCATGCATGCTGACAAATGCATGACACAGTTAATCTTACATTCATTGTTAGAGATGTCTGACTGGGGGTCACAAGCTTTCATAACTGTGGTGATTTCTGGCATGAATAGTCGGAGTACTGCTTTTTTCAAATTTTTTAAACAGCTGTTGTGTTGGCACACCTGTGTGGAACTTTGCACCCCTGTGACTGTGGACCCTCTTACCTTGAGTTGGGTTTGTGCAGGGGCTTGGCCTTTTTAATTAGTTATATATCCTCAGTTCAACCGAGAATTACATTAATTTTTTTATTTTATTTCACTCATTGAATCTGCAAATGCAATCTTGTTATTCTGACATCACAGCCAGTGAATGGAAGGAAATTCCTTGACCTCTCCATTGATTCACTGTAATGTTTTCTAAACACATTCACAGAAGTACATTTCCACACATTGTCTCCCAGTGTCTTCACATCAAACATTTAGAGTCTAGAAAACATGCACAACTTTTCCTAATGTGAAACATACTATAATAAGATTAAGTAGGCCTGACCTAAGAGCATGTACTAACTTTGGGAGAAAGTGTCCAATTTATAATTCAGTATCACTCTTCAACGTAGCCATAAATAATAACCTCGTGACTCCTAACTTTCACTTAAACAAACGTTTGTAAAAGGTTTGCAACCTTCAAAGATTCTCACTGGGAACACACCGTTCAGGACATCCCACACAGACTATATTTCCTCCCCACCCTCATCTCAACTAGACGTGCGGTAGTGTAGTTAAACCTCAAAAATTTAGGCTTAGTTCATAGTCCTATATTATGACACAAAGCAGAGGCGAAAATCACGAGGATGTTGCACTTATGCACTTACCTCAAACGCCAGAGAGCCGCTGCTGTCGCGAGCTGTCCGCAGCCGCATAGCGCTCGTGTGTGGATCGCGCGAGCCCAGCGGCGTACTGGAGTGCAGTACTTTACACCTATCGATAACAGTCGATAGAAAAAACCCCGTCAGTTTAACCGCTGGCATTATATGATCAATGCTGCATGTTCTGATAAAACATATCGGGTTCTATTTTTCTGTTAGTTAAATAGATTTTTTTGTGGGGTGGGGGGTAAATAAAAAGTTAATCACATTTAGCTACCTGTCGTTTATACGCATTCGTATTAGATTGTTGGATGTTGCACTTATGCACTTACCTCAAACGCCAGAGAGCCGCTGCTGTCGCGAGCTGTCCGCAGCCGCATAGCGCTCGTGTGTGGATCGCGCGAGCCCAGCGGCGTACTGGAGTGCAGTACTTTACACCTATCGATAACAGTCGATAGAAAAAACCCCGTCAGTTTAACCGCTGGCATTATATGATCAATGCTGCATGTTCTGATAAAACATATCGGGTTCTATTTTTCTGTTAGTTAAATAGATTTTTTTGTGGGGTGGGGGGTAAATAAAAAGGTAATCACATTTAGCTACCTGTCGTTTATACTTATTCGTATTAGATTGTTGCATATGAATGTTTTTTTTTTGTATTAATTAACAAAACATTAAGAACATCGCATTTTGAAAAGTAAATAAAATAAGAACTATAAAATTATAACCTAGCCAGGTTACATGTATTTTATATAATTATGTTTTAATGAACACAGAACTCCGTATAATACTCATCACACGCCGTTGAAATTAACCTACAGCATATAAAATCTATTACCAAACTGACGAGAGAGAGAGACTTAAACTTAGCCTTCGAAAACTTCGGATTTGTCTTATATATAGGCTACTTGTGGACATGTTTGCAACCGAAAAATTCATTTTGTGAATTGTCATCGACTATTTCATAAACGCAAACAGGAAAAGAAGGATTTACCATATTTCCCAAAACGATATCAGTCATTTTATTCCAGGTTTCACTTGTTAAGACTTGATCTGTATAGACGTCTCCTCACCGCGCGCATATGCAGTTGTGCTGCAGGCAACATCCGTGGATTCCCCGGTGACAGCTCCTCCTATGTGGTGGTATGTCTTATCAAAGTCATCCCTCACCATGGTTAGACTCCCTGTGCTTAATTTCTCCTGCTTTCTGAAAATTTGCCCCCAGTCTTTGAGTCTATCGGGGGTCACATCTGACCCCTCGGACCGGCACAGATCGGATGCAATGCGCTCAGGCTGTGCAGAGCCAAAGACGGCCCCTAGTGCATTTAATGACCATGTGACCGGAACTTAGAAGCTAAGTATTGAAGTGGAACTAATTACAGAGGCTTTCCTGGGCTGTGGCTATTTGAAAGAGGTCAAAGCACTACACTATGACTGCTTCGGGGGCAAATAAATGTTTAGGTATTCAGATAGATACCATCATGTGGGGGGAAAAACATAAAAGGTACTGATGTGAGATGCTCAGGCCCTTAAAACGTTGATGGCAGGTTAATCTTTGAAGTTTTTAGAACAACACAGGTAAACAGACAGTAATGAATGACAGACTGTCCTACAAGATCTAGACCTGTACATTTTGATACTGTTATCCCAGGTAAAACATTGCCATGCAAGTCATTGCATGCCTTCTTATGTTCTCAAACATTAAAACACACCTGCTGTATTCTAAAATGTTAATCAAACAAATGTACTAAGAGAACATTTATCTGATGTTTAAAGCACACACAAACCTTCCACATGTACAGCATATCACCAAATTGGCCAACTATTTAGAGCTACAATTCAGATAATATATTTTGTCTTTTCAGTTGTAGATCCATAAAGGGCATTACATTCTACAAATATATACATTGTGTGCATTTATTAAAAAAAAAAAACTTTTTCCTCTTAATAGTCACAAAATTGTTAGGTTGACCCACACTTGCTATTCTCAGTGCTGTTTTTGTGCTTGGAAAAAAGTTAATGTACAGCATATCACCAAATTGGCCAACTATTTAGAGCTACAATTCAGATAATATATTTTGTCTTTTCAGTTGTAGATCCATAAAGGGCATTACATTCTACAAATATATACATTGTGTGCATTTATTAAAAAAAAAAAATTTTTCCTCTTAATAGTCACAAAATTGTTAGGTTGACCCACACTTGCTATTCTCAGTGCTTTTTTTGTGCTTGGAAAAAAGTTACACATTCACAACATCTTCTAAACATTATGAGTGACAAATAGTACATTACAGGTACATCAAAATATAGAGCAAAAACTGCAATGTATGATTTATTTTCTCTTAGAATTCATGCTGCACACTTTGTATACCAGTTGGATGTTTCCAGTTTAAGTGCTAACTTTGCCAAACTCTGATTCTTATTAGCTATGTTAAGGTAAAAATGATAAATCTTTTACAATCAAAAGATAAGTGATTTCACTGTTAACTGTTATCAAGGAAGGAACGCTCCATGACAGGCCAGAGTGACTGATAAAAAAAATCAAGAAACCTTAAGCTACCGCTTTTTAAAATGACTTTTTACCTCTGTATGTTTTATTGGAGAATTTGTTTACAAAAAGAGAAATATGAGAAGACCAAAGAATTCTCTGTATTTTCCATATGCATACAACAAACCTGTTCAATTCAAACAAACAGGAAAAAAGGATAGTATATTTGTTATTAAAAAAACCCTAATTTTAAAGGGTACCTATTTGACAAAAATGACATTTATAATTAACCATACCTAAGAAGGAGGCTGAGAAAAACCTTACCTTTCTCAACTTTAATAATTTGCCATTGTTAATCATGCACATAAACTATAATTCACAATGATCCATTAAACAGTTCTCTGTGAGGTACTTACTGAATGTAAAATCATTGTGATTATCTTCATTATTCTACTTTATGCATAACGTTACAACTACTGCCCCCTTTTGAACACATTATGGTACTTCAACAAAACACCTCTCACAACGGTGTAAAATAGACTTAGTTTCCTTAAATAACACACATGGACACAAATATATGATGGTTTCTGATATGATGGAAGACATGATCTCAGCCGATCAATAAACTTCTATGTTGCTGACAATAGACCATTGAAGCTTTTCAAACTCAAAATAATGATGTTTAAAAACACTGCACACATTCAATATATGACAATTAGAAATAAACAGAATTTATGATGCCATCTTATGTACAGCCAGTGTAATTGTTCCATGTGTTCTCACCAAAATGTTCCTGCAATGACAGAATTACATTAAGGGTCCCATTAAATACTTAAAAAGCAGCAACAACATTTTTTTGTCCATTATAATAACCTTTAATGCACAGATAAAATTTGAAGAGCGTGTGGGATGAAAGTAGCAGGTAGGAGAACATGCCCTCAGTTTTAATATTGCTATGCCCATGAATTATTCCTTTTTTTTTTTTTTTTTTAATGAAGATACTAAACATTTAAGATCTGGAGTCTGTTTCCTTGTTCTTGGATGTCTCTAAAAATTAAGCTTAATCAAGATTCCAGAAACTAGGCAGATGTTTGTCAAGTAGCTTCTTACCCAGAGTCAGACTCCAGACACACAGTAGGAGAGTCAGTGGGGTCTTTGGTTAGAGAAGCAGCTTGCGTGGCCAGCACAGACACAACTCCTCCATGTTCATCAGAAAGCGAGCCACGGCCTGAGATTAAAACATTAAAGAAGTTGATAGTTACAGTACATGGGTCATCCCCAAATTATGGTGAGCAATGAAAAAGATTTCAGACAATCAGGAAAACACATATGAAAGCAACATTCTGTAACCTTATATTTTATTAAACAATACTTTCAATGTTATACCTGTATATTGTTTTAGACATTTAAAAAAGTGAGAGAAAAAAAATTTCATCTGTAAGGAGTTTGTCACTGGTGATTTTTCCCTTGCTTCATTAGTGAAACAAAGTAGGGATGCACAATTACGACAAAAATCATAATTGTCGAAGGGATGCACAATTATCACAAAAATCATAATTGTCGATTATTCCCTTGAAATTGTAATTGCGATTATTAATTACGATGATCACAATTTACATTGAATGATGTTTTGAATAGCTTTATACAATTGTTTGAGCAACTGCATGCCATATTTTTATATGAAAATTAACAAGCTGAAAACACTCTTCCAGAAAAACTTTAATTGCTTTTCTATAGCATTTATTTAGCCTTTAAATGTCAACTATACATTGGTTTGGTTTCTTCTTTAAATAAAAAAAAAATAAAATAAAAAAAGTGTAGTATTGTAATGTTACTTGCTTGTAAATGCGCCTTTGAACGATTACGTAATTGTGGCATCCGTAATTGTAATCACGATTACAAATTCGATTAATTGTGCAGCCCTAAAACAAAGTAAAATAAATGTAGTGTATTTGTTTTTGTATTAGTTTTTTTCAACTGCTCACACACAAAATCTTTACTTGCACTTCTGAAACCTGAACTCACCAGAACCACACACCAAATCTGCAAAACCATACACTTATTCTCTGCCTTTGACTCAATTTTTTAATTTCATAAAACACTTTTTGCAAAAAACAACACACAATTCTCTATGTAACACAAAAATCTAACAGGAAGTATCTTGATTTCCTTTTTCAAACAACCAATCAAAATGCCACACTAATTCATCAGTGCCTCACACTAACTCCTCACATGTGCAAACATAGCTTTACTTAACACCAACCAATCATGGCTTTAGAATAGGCCTTTCGTACTGTGCAATACTAATACAGTAAAAAAAAGTTTGGTTTCAATCTTGCTTTCATGTTTACCATGAATTTTTCAACATCTCTCTGCCAATTACTTTCAATGTTGTACAGAAATGTACATAGGAGCTCATAAAAGAAGAGCTTTAGGTTTCGAATAACTGTGTGTGTATATGATATAACAAACAATATAATATTGACAAAGGTGTTTGCAACATAAGACAAATGTTTGCTTTTGAGATGTTTTTGTGATGTTTTGAATGCAGTGCTTCATTTTACAAGAGATGCGAGGCATTTTGCATTTTGTGTGTGCAATTCTTGGATTTGTGTGTAAAGTTTTGAAAAAAAAGAGGCAAAGTTTTGAAAATGGAAGCAGTTGAAAAAAAACTAATTACACACATCTTTGTAGTTTTCATTAATATTTGGAATTAGCTTTTATTTTTCTATTTTCAATTTTCTTTTTCGTTTTAGCTTAATTTTGAGTAATTTTAGGGCCTCAACTTAAACATATTTTAGTTTATTTCTTTTTTTTTTCATTTAGTTTCATATTAATTTTTTTATTTTTTTCAATTAACATAAATAAATACAAATACACACGCATAGTTTTAGTTTGGGTTGTAGTTGGGTCAATATCACCATAGAGTGCCTTTCAACCCTCACAATACTCAAAAAATTCGGTTTTAATTTCCCATTCGCTTTATGTCATATCATAAATAGTACACACTCAAGTACTAGAAACATATTAGCTGAGCTCCCACACATTTTTGTTTAGATAATTATGGGCCATTATTCGAAGCATAAACCATAAGATATGTCCACCCTGTCATGGACTATTACTGTTAAATACGTTTTCATTGCAAAATTAAGATGCAAATTATATTTTCTGAAAGGTATGATGTCCCTTTCCTAAACAGTTATTAAAAAAATAATATAATAATAAGAAATAATATAATTACATCCTCAATCACATTGATATACCCCCCGCCCCTAATTCATTTGAGTTTTTAGCAATATTAACTACAAATGAATGCTATGTCCACCCTGTCATGTTTACGTCCACTCTATCGAGTCTAAGTGGTCGACAGGGTGGACATTTTGAGCTTCAATTAACATATTAGCTTACAACAAACTGTGACTAGCTAAATATTTAGTTTGGCTGTTGAAGAGAATTTGGTATATTTAAACTTACAGTGGGTACGGAAAGTATTCAGACCCCCTTCAATTTTTCACTCTTTGTTATATTGCAGCCATTTGCTAAAATCATTTAAGTTAATTTTTTTTCCTCATTAATGTACACACAGCACCCCATATTGACAGAAAAACACAGAATCGTTGACATTTTTGCAGATTTATTAAAAAAGAAAAACTGAAATATCACATGGTCCTAAGTATTCAGACCCTTTGCTGTGACACT